GGTATACTCTGCGGGAGTATATTACTCGCGAACCCGTGAATCGAGATTGGGTCGCCATTTTTAACCCCGCCGCGTGATCCCCGGTTGAGCCATACATTCGAAATAATATTGAAAATTTCAGATTCCCTTCGTTTCTCAATTTCTTATTTATTTCTTAACCTCTTCGCTCTTCCGCGGATCGTTCATTTATCTTCGAAATCGCTCATTTTTCATGCGCATTGCATGTCAAGTGTTTTCACTGCTAAGAACTACAGTAATTTCTCCCTAATTCGCGCTCAGACTACGACAAAAATGGACAATTTGGGAAGAGGGGATGCAATTATTATTATTATTATTATACGTGCCACAAAAAGGTTATTTTAATATAATATATTATTTTACATAACAATATTATCTTTCTTTTCAACATCAGAGGGACCAGTTCACTTGACAATGTCTACAAGATTGTCTTCAGAAATCGCAATTAGTTGAAATGAGAAAAATATTTATTTATTCCTATTAGGAAATCCCGAAATTTTGACACATTTCAATAAATTACCGAGACCTACGTAACGCATTGTTTAAATCATTTATCCTAGGCTCACTTCAACCGATTGCAATTCCCGTAAAAATTTGTTCATCCATTTCCCAGTAAACTAATCTGCCCAACGTGTGAAAAATCTTTCGACCGTTTCAGCCGGATTATGAAATAAATTCTCCCTAATTGATCCCTTTTTAGGATCGTTGACGATCGATAACTATAAAAACGAGCCGCAAGGCTCAAATAAATGGACGATTTGGGAAGAGGAGACACGATTATGCGAGCCTTGTGTTTTTATAGTTGTTGACAATCGGTAACTATAAGAATCGTATCTCCTCTTCCCAAATTGTCCACTTTTGTGCCCAATCTGAGCGTCAATTAGGGAAATTACGCGCACAGAAAAATGAAATATGTTAATTGAAGTACCCAAAAAGGTCGCGAAGCAAAATTCGTGGCATGCTATTTCCCGCGCGAAAGCTTCCGATGAAATAAGTACATACATACAGACATCGGGAGGGAGGGATGGGGGCGCAATCATCCCGAAAAATCAATCATCCGTTGATCCGATACACTCTATCAAGCGGCGAACACCATAAAAAAAGGAGGATAGAACGCGGAGCGGAGATTCCCTCGGCAGACACCTACGATCCGATCGATTCATCAAAGCGTGTCACCGTTCCCGGTTGCATTATCTCGGGAAATCTCGGCTGGGTGCCGGTGCGGGAACAATATCACGGCATTCGAGCGTCGCGACGACGACAGATCCTCCTTAAATCAGTGCTTTCGGATTTCGTCAGCTGGTTGAACGGGGCTGCCACCCTCCCTGTTCCCGTGGAATCGTCATCGTTTAATCGTTCAGCGTCTCAACGTGCCGACGTATTCGTCGGGCGTCGGTATGCCAAGCCTTCCGTGTACATACAACCGTACTCGAAGGCGTTTTCGCTCGCTTGCTCACGGAATGGAACACATCCCGCGTCTTCCCCGACAGATTGCCACACGTCACCTTACATCATTGCCACCGTGTTACCGTAATAATGGCATTATTAACGGCGACGACTATATCGGGGGGAATCGGGCAACCTCCGTCGACCGATCGATTATTGTAATTGCGTTAATAATACGGCCACCACTTATTGGCAGCTCGGAGGACGTCGCCGCGAGCTCCGTTCGTCGTTGTTGTCGCCGCCTTCGTCGACGGAATTCCCGGCCGTCCACGGACTATTAATCACCTTTAATTATTAACCGTTGTCTATTAATCACCGCCGCCACGGCTAATTGATATTTTATCTGTTTTCGGGGGGATTGGAAGAGGGCGGCTTCCATCAAGATAAAGGCTCGATGCGAGTTTTTACCGGCGGACCGGCTAATTTGTTGTCTACGGAACCATCTGACAGTTCGACCGGCGACCTCGGAGGCTCCACAAAAATCCAAGTCATTTGTTCAGCGAGATTGGAAAATCGAGACTCGCGCGCTTTGCATTTCGCGATTTCTTATGAAACGTGAAAAGATCCGTTGCTCTTCGAATATACGGAAACGTATTTCTGTGTCCAATTTGTCGAACAGCACTTGTTCTCTATTAATTGTATTTTAATTTGCGAGAATATATTTAGATTGTCGTGACTAATTATTGTAGGATTTAACGATATTAGCAGCGTCGATGAATAATTCATCGGGTTTGTTAATAACGCAGAAATGTAGGTTGAATTTTGAATACAGATAACGGAGATTATTATCGTGCCGGTTCTCCATTAATAGGAGGCAAATTAGGCGAGCTTTAATTGGAAGATTTGCGCGATGCGCGCCACTGTTTCTATAATGCAGGCGTGTCGAGTATATACTGTGGAAATTAATGAATTCGATTTTTGTCTCCGAAGCAGCGCTTTCTTTCCATCGGTAGCTTCGCAAACTTGTATTTCACAACAAGCCTCGAAATCTGTAAGGATCGACTCGATCAAATTCTCTTCATCTAACGTAGACTATTTTACTATAAATAAATATAAAAATAAAAATAAAGATAAAGTATAAAATATAAAGTATAAAGTGTAATAAAGATAAAGTTTTCATTAATACATATTAATCCAAAATCATGTTCACTGTTGGTCGTGCGACGATAGTTGGAAATTAATTTCCTCGCTTAACTAAACGTCTATTTCGATCCAGCCTTATCCCCAAAAAGTGAACGCTGTCGACGCTTCTGTATTATATCGATGCTTCGAATCATTTGGATAATTGTTTGCCGATTTTACGAAAAATATTTCATCGAGACTCGATCATCGCATTCCATCCGATCAAGCGCAATTGAAATGATCAGAAGCCGAGTGCCTGACGATACTTTCGAGTCGTATAAAATCTAATCGACTGTCACGTTGTAATTCAATTGCAGCGACAATTACAGTAACTTGCGCTTGAACTTATTGGAAAGTTTTATTAGCGCAACTACGTTCGAGGACCAGAACACTGCCGCCTCGAATTACAGAGAATCGACACGATAGTCAAGAAAAATGGTCTCAAAAGTGGCTGACATGCGTTACCGTGTAAAAGTGGCAAGATCGAATTTACTTGGATCATTTGCCAGTTTCATTATAATGCATATTCTTATAATGCATTTTCCATGAAAATGGCTTCTTTAATCGAAGCAAAATTAGGCGAGCCCGTGCCAAACGGATTGCCGTGATGCAAAATATTAATTTCTTTCAGTCACTTTCATTCTCTAATCGATCATTTGGCAAAATGTTTCGAGGCCGAAGTGGGCCCACTTATCGAACATATTTTAGTTTCGACTTGCTTGGTATAAATCTTGAAATATTTTGTTATCTTTTTTGTTTGCATATAATAAATCATTCGAAACAAAGTGATTGTTTTCGGACGTATCGAAAATTAATCTATTTCATGCTTCATTTCACAGCGCACCTTAAACTCTAAATAATCGTGTGATCGATTTCGTGCGTCGCCCAAGAAGCCGCGAGTGTCGAAGGCGGGTTTTTTGGATCGCGAGGACGCTTTTGTAACGAGAAACGATCGCGAGTGGTAAGAAGCCGAGGATCTGGAATAGGGGTCAATAAGCAACCCCAGTAATAGCAACAAGACGAGGTAGTAACAACGCCGATAGGACGGTAGTAGGGTCACGGGAGTGCGATCAGAACGCGGACAAGACGAGACCGGCCCGAGAAAAGAGAAAGAGAGGACGGGTTATCGGCACGACATACTATTTATAAGCACGCCCACGGACCATTAAAAATACGTCGCGACGCGATGCAGCTATATCGGACGACCATTCGTATATAAACAATTAGTGGCCGCGAGCGCCGTGAGACCGGTAATCAGTGGCCGGCCGGGCAATTAAGAAGAAAAAGATCGAATCGCGTGCGATTCTTTGCTTTCTTTGCCGGTCGATGAAACGTTGTATAATTTTGCAATGGCGGATAACTTCTCAAAGTAACGATCATTCGCGAGAACTTTCGTGCGAAATGTCGAGCGACGATCGGCTGCTTCGCGGCCGGTGAAGATCGATTTGCACGGCGCGAGGATCGACGTCGGTAACCTTTCGAGACACCGGGATATTTGTCCGATCCCAAAGTGACAAGCTCCGATTAAAAAAAAACACTCGATAAGACTGGTGGAAAAGTTCGTGTTCCTTAACCTCTCCCGCTGCATTTCTATTAAGAGGTGCACCGGCGACGCCCCCCCGCTGATCCAATTTAGTTCTCATTCACCGTGAAAGCAAGAGCAATTTGAAAAAAATTCCTGCAGCGCGGCCCGCTCTCGCGTTCAATCAAACCACAATTTACTCTGTTTCGTTCGGGCTCTCTCGACGCACCGCCGCACGGCATTCCGCGTTCACTTTTTCCTCTGTTTTTCGGTGTCTTTGGAAAATAATAAACGAACCCGGTCGCGTAAAACGGGCGGCGTTTTTTCACGTTATAAAAATAATTCCGTCGGGGCCGATCGATATTCGCCGGTAAATGTCGCGCGAGATCATTCGTGAAACTTATTAACACTGCCGTGGAAACATCGTGGAAGACAAAAAGATTAACAATGATTTATAGTTTCCGTCGCGCTTCTCGCGATACTTCGAAAAATTGTGTATGCACGTTCTCTCCTTAATGCACTTTCGGTGTCACGTGAGTGTACATCTCTGCTCATGATCCTCGCTGGAATTGTGATGACGTGCAAAAATGCCGGCTAATTTCTTTCGCTCGGAGTTTCGGAAAACTATATTTTATTCGAAATATAGCTGATTCGTTCATCTATGTAGTTGAAAATGATTCTTCTAGGCAGAAAAGATTCACGAGAAAAATGATCTGTGAAATACAAAGCGAAAGAATTCGGCCATCGTTTTCGTATTGCTGCGAACGACAGAGACAGTCCGACGATTCGACTCATGATCTTCGTACTATAGTTCAGATGTCGAACCAGCTTCCTCGAATGCAGAGTATCGAAATGTGTACGACTGCCAGCGGAAGCAATGTTGGAAACTTACTGCGAAAAATTGTTTCGAGAAAAAAAGAATTCGCTGCGCTTCGTAGGTGGAAACTCGTAGAATCCGAGCGAAGCTTCTTCTCCAGGACTCGACGCTCGCCAATTTTCTAACATTAATTCGGCAGGTATCGCTGAAAGTTTTCAGTAAAGATCTTCAATTTCAAACGAGCATGCACGGTGCACAATTTTCGAAATACTTTCAAATACTATGTGCGTCTCAGAATCGCGTTTCGCTTAATCGCGATGCCTAAAATTTGTCGTAATTTCTGAAAAAAGAAACTAACGTCGTAAAGACGCGGAACGTACCGTGGAATCTTTCGATTTAAAAATCACGAAACGAGGATCCGTAGTCTGGCGAATGGAAAGACCAAACGACGAATCGCAGAGACTTTTACCTTACGAGATCTTTCGGGAACACGAGGAAGCAATTTTCCTGGCCGTCCTGCGCAGACGATCCACGTTAATTCACTGGACACAAACGTTCCGCTGCGTGTTCGAGTCGATGTCCATGCTAACCGGGAGGCTCAGCTAAATCGTCCGAAAGCACAGATCAATCGAAGAGAGAAACAATGCTCGTCCATCAGGTAGATAATGAAACACCGACTAACGGAAGGCGTCCATACTTCTGCAATGTTGCGACGAACGTACGGCCCGTTCGAGAACCGTGCGCGATTTACCAAAGGTTTCCGGCGTATCGAAGGATCGCGAGGGGGTAGAAGGGTGAAAACAAGAGAGGAGACGGAAGTCGGCGGAAGAGAAGGTGGTGGCTGAGAAGAGACAACGTCGCACGTCCACGCTGTCATCGAGCGTACTACTACTGCGGTCGAACTCGCGATATGCCAATCGAAAGAGATTAGAACAACTGTGGTTCCAGTTCCCTACCACGAGGTTCGTCGGCTTTTGCACCGCATCGCATCAACACCGTCGAAAATAACATACGTACGTGCCGTCAATTTTCTTCAGCATTCTCGTCATTTCGGTGGAAACGGGATCCGCCAGATCCAGCGCACAGCGGCCTGGAAAACCCGCCTTCTGTGGCCATAATTTCTTTTCTCAAGTGCGATGCATTGAGAAAGTTTGTTTTTCTAGAAACTGAGAATCTTTTGAAGCTCCAAAATCGAAAATATTAGTCGTTTCAGATGATTCTGTGCTAAGATACGGCGTTCTAAATTAAATAAAATTAATATATAATAATAAATATATATTATATATTATATATCATGTAATATATATTATTATACAATTATATAAATTTATAACATATATTATTATATTATAATATAACATATATATTATTATATAATATAATATTATATATTTATATAATAATATAATATATATAATATATATATTAATATTATATAATATAATATTATATATTTATATAATAATATAATATATATAATATATATATTAATATTATATAATATAATATTATATATTTATATAATAATATAATATATATAATATATATATTAATATTATATAATATAATATTATATATTTATATAATAATATAATATATATAATATATATATTAATATTATATAATATAATATTATATATTTATATAATAATATAATATATATAATATATATATTAATATTATATAATATAATATTATATATTTATATAATAATATAATATATATAATATATATATTAATATTATATAATATAATATTATATATTTATATAATAATATAATATATATAATATATATATTAATATTATATAATATAATATTATATATTTATATAATAATATAATATATATAATATATATATTAATATTATATAATATAATATTATATATTTATATAATAATATAATATATATAATATATATATTAATATTATATAATATAATATTATATATTTATATAATAATATAATATATATAATATATATATTAATATTATATAATATAATATTATATATTTATATAATAATATAATATATATAATATATATATTAATATTATATAATATAATATTATATATTTATATAATAATATAATATATATAATATATATATTAATATTATATGTAATATATAATATATATATTAATTAAAACGTTTTGCACACCGATTTGTAGAATATTATAGAACAGAAAGAAGGCTTTAACGATTACAAAAGAAAATATATAAGTTGAAGAATCATCATGTTTTTAATCTTTTCATCGTACCAACGAATTGCAATTTTGGAAGATAATCCTTTTAGATTCAGATCGTTTGGCCCATTTGTACGAAAACTTTTTTCTACCTACTGCAAGTGAATGTATTTTAAAAAACTTTCAAGACTTCATTTGGAAATAGTTATAATAGCATTACACCTGTGGACTAGTAAAAGTGGCTAATTTACATTATTTTACAGATGCCAAAAGAATGTATTTGTTCACAGAAATAAAATTGAATGATTCCTCTTGGCTGCATCTTTGCAATCTCAGTGAAAATTTATAAATATAGAACTCGACATTTTGTTGAGATGCATAACTTAGCACTAACTTACTGGTACTTTTTTTTAATTTAAACATTTAGCTGTCAGTAAACGCTTAAAATGTAATAACTGTATTTAAAAGTGTCGAGGATATATGAAAATGAATTTTAAAAAGAAAATAGCAAACTAAGAGTACAGCTAATGGGTGATGAATTGTTTGTCTGATATTCATTGCGTTTGTTTAAATCGAAAACGTCTGGGTTTAAAAATTGAGAAAATTGGTCCTACTCTCTACATAATTATGTAATTAACAACGGTTAGCTATTGCAATCTCTCTGAAAAGTGTAAATGTATCTGTTATAATATAGAATTAAATTGTTATGGAACGACTATTTTGTTTTTCAATTTTATCTTGCTAACTTAATTTTATCTGCTCAATTTAACCAGTTAGCTGTTTCTAACAGAAAATGTTACCATCACTTCGTGGCGAATACATTCGTCGAAACCGGATAACTGGTTAATGCAAAAGCAATATAAAAAATCCTCGCTTCGATACTTCTCTGAGCGCCTTGCAATGTTTTTCCTCCGATAGGTACAGATTTTACATCGAAGTCATCGGAGAATGATCGGTCATGAAATTAAATTCAGCGAGAAATCTCGATGCTGCAAATTGGTTTCGAGAATCGGCGCGTACAGCCTCGTGTAAAACATTGGACAAACATGTTTTTATTTATTCAGCTTCCCGCTGCATTGCAGTTCGCCGCTTGTAAACAAGCCCCGTCTGGCCGAATGTTGTTTTGCAGAGATTTTAAGAGGCAAGAAAAATATTTTGCGCGATCGGTTTTGCGGGCAGCACGGTCTCGTCGATCGCAACTGCGAAGTTTCGTGCAGTTCGCGCTGCATCGGGCTGAAATCGTTGATTGCGATTAAGACGGATGCACAGTTTCGTTATTGACCAGTGGAATACAGTCTTTGATACCCTAGTAGCGTTTTTTAAACCGACGAGTCTGCACGTACTTTCTGCAAATAGAATTTTAGTACATTAGATAGACAGATTTTATGTTAGAAATAGTTTCGCAACTGATTCTATGACAATACACATTATTTTTGCTTTGAACAATATCGAATCGAAGGAAAAGGGAAGCAGCGTTTAATTTGTAGATTTAACACTAGAACTACCATAACAGTCGAAATGACTGGTTTCTGATTTCTTTCCTTTACGGTTACTGATTTTATAAAGATATTTCTAAGAGGAAACCTTTAGGTACACTTCTTTATTGATAATATATTCTATATAATTCTATATATAATTATATTATATATACTATAATATATATATATATTATATTTATTATATATTATAATATATAATATAATATATAATATAAATATAATATAATAATTATATATATATATATATAATTCTATTCTATATATAATATATTCTTTATAATATAAATGATATGAAACTTAAATAAATCCAGTCTTGGCATTGTTATAGAATAATATAGATTAGTCTTGTTTAAGGCTCGGTAGTTCCAGCGTTAACTATCTTGTTATCACTAACTGCTACGAATGGAATATATTAAACATAAAGTGGCAAAAGTAAAGTTTAACATTATCGTGAATTTAATTCGGTGATGTTGCTACTCCGGAAAATATTTTCTAGCGAGCAATGGAAATTGAATGAACAGATATGTGTTGTGAACGTTAGTCATGGTGATAATAGTGTTTATTCGAGTGAAATGTCGACGCCGTGACCTATCGTGTCATTTCTTATATTAGATATTAAGAAAAACTGCGCGTGTGAAGTTAGTTTCAATTAGAAGAATAACCGAGCAGCCAGCGAAAGCCATTTTCCGACATCGAAATCGCAAGGCTACCGGCATAAATATTGTAATATGAGCCGTTTATTTTGAAAGTGGCATAAGTCATTTTTTCAACTAATTACAATTGAATATAATTTTTGAATATAATAAAATAAATATAATATAATATATTTCAATATATATTTCAAATATAATATAATATATTTCAATAAATATAATACAATATATTTCACTAATTACACACAACTGAACGGTATCTTTTCATCTAAAAAAAAAAGAAAAAGTGACTTATGACACTTTCAAAATAAACGGCTCGTATGTAATCGTTTAACGGTGAAATGATAAAAATAATACTAAAACTGGCGTGAACAGCTAATTCTTCTTTGTGGCCCACTGTGCGACGCCGCATATATGCGAAACTAATAAGTCACATGCATGCTGAAAATTTCATCGAAATCGGTTAACGCAAAGTCAAGTTACAAGCGTTAAAAGAATATAAAACCCGCAAATTTCTCACACGAATTGGTCGAAAGTGACAAAAATCCCGACATAACTGCGATTTTTACGATCTTTAATTGTTCGGACTGAATCGATCAACCGATTTCGGTGAAATTTTTAACATGCATATAACTCGCCGAGATCGGCAAAGCACATTTTTTAAATTTTCATTACAGGCTCAGTCAAAAAAGCTAAAAAACGAAAACTTCTTATTTTCTTTCGTCATTCTAAATAATAGCAAAATTAAAAAAGAAAAACATTCCAGTTAAGGTCTACTAGACTGGTAGCTGAATCACCTAAAAAAATGCAAGTCGTTCAATCCAGTTCTAAAAAAGTTATTGCGTTTTGAAAAGCGTCGAAATATTAACGAAAGTTGCTGTACCGTTTCCGACGAGCATATGATGAAATGGCAGCATCTTGTATGATGACGAGTATGCTTGTCAAAAAAGACAGTTAACCGGTTAATACCGTTTGCGATTAAAATGACGAGGCGGAATTCTCGTGGTCGTTGGGCTACACCACGGATTCTCGCGATATTGTGAGAATGAAAAAGAAAAAAATTGCCGGAGAGATCGCGGTAAGTGTGACAGAGCGTGAAAATAATTTACACGTGTTCACCCGTATGAAAAGAACGAACTCGAAGGTCAGTTCCAGCCGAGAGAGGCGTTGATTTAATCTGAGGTCAAGAGACACCGTGTAATGTTTTGATTTCGAAATTCACTGCGTCTGCAACGTATCGAAATTCATAAGGCGCGTGTCTAAACGCATCGTTGTTTTGTTCCTAACTAGCTGAAATCGTTCACGAACGAAGCTCGAATTTCTCTGGTCAAAATGCCTTAATAATTCGTCAAAAAAAGAAAAAGAAGTACAAAATCGCATCGATTTCCATAAAGAAAATTATACGTTTTCATGACAAAAAATTGTTGCCACCTTTATTTTGTATTGAATTACTCTAGTTCGAAGATTCGTTGAAATTTGTCGACGAGGTGGCAATGTTTCGCATCCATTTTCCGCGGTCGAATAATGTTGATCCGACACCGCCGTTTCTCGTAATAAACGATACGAGAACCAATCGCGGCGTTGCTCGATATGCAGGCGCAGGCTGCTGCATATTTAACGCGTCGTTCGGTGAAGAAAAAAGAAGGAGCTTCGAAGATCGGGTCTTTTTTCTAGACAGTTGCAAATTTTTCTGGGTAACGTATTCATCGACCAATTCGAGCATACCTTGCGTATCGCAGGATGTTTCCCATGTGTTTCCCATAGTTCGAAGGTGAAAACATTGAAGCAACCACCAATCGTGATCCTTCGGTTAATATAATAATATTTCTAATTTAATATAATAATATTTCTAATTTCAGTGTTATTAATATTTCTAATTTCAGTGTTATTAATATAATATTTCAATTTTACTAATTTAAACGATATAACAAATTGTTTGAACATAATGAAAGATGTCACACTGTCAAACGTGATTTCTAACTTATAGATTATAAGTTAGTGATTATTAAACTGAGGATCTTTATGGAAAATAAGAATTTTCTAAATAAATCGTATT